ATGCACCGCAGAGCAGTGAAGTCTCTGCGTACGAGCTCTGAGGTGGTCAAACTTCACAGTCTCAGTATGCCGACCATTCGCAGTGATGTCCCATCTGACTTTATTACATCCCATCTGACTTTATTACATGTAAGAACCCATACAATGATTTCATTACATAACTGATTAACAAAATCTTTCTCCTTAACTTTAGGGAACCCCAATTAAGAAGTTTAAATCGGCTGTCATAATTTATTTCCATATCCGTCTCTGCCCGAGTATCATCCTAGTCGCACAGCGCTGTGGCTTTTCTATTTTGTCAATAAGGGTGGAATTGTAGAGGTGCCATACTGGTTGAGCATATTCTACAATTAGCAAACAAGAGCCTTGTAAAAGGCAAGTTTAGCATCTTGACATAGGTCTCTAGCAACACCAGTTATGTAACCCAACATTCTTTTAGCCTCAGTAACAACAAACTGCGCATGATTATTTCAAGTCACTTTGTTATTCAAAATAACTCCCAAGTATTTATACTCTGTTAAGACATCAAGGTGAACATTGTCAAGGGTGTACCGGTGCAAGGGAACACCTGGATCTCTAAACCATGTAATTCGCATAACTTTAGTTTGGTTGACATTGAGACGTATTATATTATTAAGACACCAACAATGAATTTGATCAAGATCTTGTTGTAAAACAATTTCATCCTCTAAACAATTTATCGCCCTATACAATAAAGAACCATCTGCAAACTATGAGCAAGTAGTTGAAGTACACAGAGGAAGATTATTGATGAATAAGTCAGACAGAAGCGGACCCAAAACACTTCCCTGGGGGATACCTGAAGACTCTGGGAGCCATGGTGAAAATGAATCTTTGTAAAAGACACGTTGATCTCTTCCAGAAACAAAAGATTTGATCCATTTCCAAATGTCCCCAGATAAATACTGCTTAGCCAATTTTTAGAGCAAAACATCATGAGGCATCACATCAAAAGCTTTGGCAAAATCAAGAAAAGCTGCACCAATTTTGGGTGGGCAGGGTTTGTCAAGAATTTTAAGCCAAGTGTTGGTAACATTAAGGAGTTGAGTGACACATGAACGACCTTTAATAAAACCATGTTGCTCAGGTGACAATAGTAAATAGTCACTAAGATGGGATTGAATAGTACTGGCTATGACAGTCTGCATGATTTTGCACACAATCGATGTCAAAACAATGGTTGGTAATTAGAAATTGAACTAGTGTCACCTGATATAAAAGGCCTTGGCCTTGAGGGTTCAGGGCCTTGCAATTTTGAGTCAAGGCTCTTCAAGGCCCATAGATTTTTGCATTTTCCAGATAAATCTGTTCGAAATTTTGCTGTTAGTGTTACCATTTTAATTGTATTACGATGGAGGAGGGAAACACCATATAGATTTGTGTGTTGGGCACACTTCCACTTTTATAGCATCAAATGTTGTTACCATTGTAGTAGATTTGCTGCAACAATATTCCGTACACTTGTGGGGCTAATGAATGATCACTTTAATTGCATATAACTATGGAATAGATCTGATTGGTTGTACATGTCTCCCTGATAAGTGCTAAAGATTTGCATGTATCTGTTTTAGATAATGCTGATATTTCTGACCATGTTGGGCCAGCAAATAAAAAATTCCCAAATCAGTATCTTGGATCCCCCTTTTGTTACACTTGGGAGAATTGTGTGTCAATATAGAAGTAAATCATTATTTTGTTTAGTTAAACCATATTGAAGACCTGAACTTATACTTTAATAGATACAGTGCAGTCATAAAACGGTGTAGGCCTATGCGAGCATGTTGATTGCAATTAAAGAAATGTTGTTCTTCGTAACGAGCAATTCGTGATGATAAGGGCGGATCCAGGGGGGCCAAAAAAACCCAACGAAACCATTTTTTTTTATGTGACGTCGTAATAAAGGCAGGCAATGAGTACACCACATCTTTTCCTCAAAAAACATCTGTTAAAATGGTCAGAAATTGCCTCAAATCGCACCACAGAGCATCTCGAATCCAAACATTTTTCAGGGCCCTTAAGCGGGCCCCGAAGCCCAAGCCATATTTTTTTGACCCACTTTTTTTTTTGGGGGGGGGACCAAAATTTCTTTGGCCCCCCCCCCAATTGTGTTCTGGATCCGCCCTTGCGTGATGATGTGTCACTCATGTGACTATAATTAGTTCTATATCAGTGGTCATTTAATAAAACAGGGCCTTGGCCTTGGCCTTGGCCTTGAGGGTTAAGCCTTGGCCTTGGCCTCGAGGCTTGAGGGTCAAAGCCTTGGCCTTGGCCTTGAGGGTCAAAGCCTTGGCCTTGGCCTTGGCCTTGAGGGTCAAAGCCTTTGCTCCAACACTGCTCGTGACCGATCTTGCTGGTTGAACATTGCTACATCTAAGTTCAAAACATACTGCATGATGGTCACTCCCCACCGGATTGGGACAAACGGTTATTGTGCTAACCAAGTTGGGATGATCCATAAACACGAGGTCAATGATGGTTCCATTCTCCGAATCATGTGAACACTGACGTCTGACATCATCCACAAGTTCAATCAAGTCCATTGTTGACACAACACGGGTAAGGTTCTAAATGTTTGTTGTTTCAGGATTCATTATTCATTCCTGAATGGCATTTTGTATCACAACTCTCACATTGAATGCTCAGCTAATTTTTCTCATTGGTTAAGTACACACATTACAAGGGTTTTTAGCAGGACCTGGGTTAGCATGAACATCCCTGCCAAGTAGTATGCATTTATCGCTTATGTCAGCCTGCTGGGTACTGGTGGAATTAGAGTATCGGCATATTTGGCTACCATAAAAGCATTGTTTATACATGTATGACACAATATGCGTATCAGGCAATGACCACAGGCCTAGGCCTACATCATGATAATGTACGGTAGGCTAGTATCGTTAGTGACATTTATTCATCAAAACTGCAGCCTTGCCAATCGCACGTGTAGCAGTGGCAAGCAAATAGTCCAATGATCAGGGCCAGAAGATTGATGAAACCCATATTAATAATGTAGCATTGCTGCAATTAGTCTGGTCGATAAGTCCGGATGATCAACAGTACATAGATACTTACAATAAAAACGAAGTATGTTCACGAAATCAAAGATTGCCGACCATCATCAAATTTGGGATCGAACCATAAGGTAAAACGTCAAGAATAGTCCAGGCAAAATACTTCATTTTTTGAGTGAACCTCAAACAAATTGCAACAGAATTTTTTTTCACCACAGTGCATTTCTATAAGGTCCCTAAAATGACATACTAAAAGTCCAAAAAAATCCAAGTGGTGGAAATATGCCTAATTTGCATAAATCCAAAATGGCCGAAAATTTTAGGACTTTCACATTGATTTGGTCATATTTCTTATACTCAATAGCTTTTTCAGGTACTTAAAACGACAATTGTAGTCCGTTTACATTGATTTCATAATTATTCTAGTCCTACGTAACTTTCAAGATCCCCATGTTTCCCAAATTCGCCATATGCCGTATAATAATTTGCATAAATGCATTATATTAATTTGCATAAATTAAAGTTAAAATTATGGCTGTCATGTGTGGACATGTCACAATTGAATTTTCCTGATAATCCAAGTTCAGTTATTTATACATAAATATCACACCACAGTGCATTTCTATAAGGCCCCTAAAAAAAGTCCAAAAAATCCAAGTGGTGGAAATATGCCTAATTTGCATAAATTCAAAATGGCCACTCAAACCATGATTTTCATATTGATTTTGCCATAACTCTTGTCCTACATTGCTTTTTGGGGTACTTTAAATAACAATTTGTCCTTTTACATTGATTTCATCATTATGTTAGTCCTGGGTACCTTTGCCGTATAATAATCTTCCCATACAAACGGACAAACCGCCAGCACCACCATCACTACTTGAGGTCATCAGATGTGGGTGTAAGAAGCGTTCTTTCGTTTTGGACGGTTAGTCATGACGGTTCGTGACAGCTCGTCATGACGGTCGTCGTCTTCGCTAAAACGAAGGGGCGTGATCAATGGATCTTGGCCAATCAACTGGCTCCTCTGTACGGTAAACTTTGTTGTTCGGGAATAAAGACTTAAGATTATTATTCACATAATTATGGAACACACACACACACACCTACCCGCCAGGGACTGCCACGTCGAATGCCATGGGCGTCGCCAGGATTTTTTCTAGAGGGGGGTAATGCACATTTCGCCCCCCCCCCCCAAAAAAAACCAAATACCTGTACTTTTGCCAGCATATTCTCAATTTATCTTTTTTCGAGGGTGGGCATGGGGGCATTTACCCACCACTTTTTTGATGATAAAAAGTAGTAATTAAATAGTAAAGTCTGTCAGGAGCAAGTGTGGCCCATTGGGCCATGGGCAGCGCCGGCATTTATCTCCGGTTTCAGAGAATATTTCTATTCCCCCTGGATGGGATGCTAGTCCATCGCAGGTTACTCCACAGCTTATGCCGGCACCCATTTATACTCCTGGTTGGAGAGAGGCAAGTGTGGATGAAGTCTGCCCTAGGACACAACATAATGGCCAGCAGCTGTATTCGAACCCCTGACCCTCTGATCATGAGTCACAAACCCTAACCACACTACGGCACAAAAAAGGAGTTTGATCACTGCTTGCTCAATTGGAAGTTGGTTGCTGCCTCGGCAAATAATATGGAAGACATAATCTAACTTTTGAAGCGAATTTCTGGTGCTGCACATGGCTACCCGAAAATAAAAACGTCAAACTTCAATTTGGAGATTGACGGATCCTCTAAAGTCCTTGGAGTTATTATAACACATGCCTGTCATCTAAAAATACACAAAATTATGGCTGTTTTGTCTTTGCACAGACGTAATAAAATTATATTCTGAATTATCGAAAGAACGGTTCGTGGCTAGACTGTACGAATCTTAATTTTCTGCATAAGCAATAGAATATGCTTGTCACCGTGTGTATGAGTGACACCGAAGAAAATTGACGAGGTGACACCAGGATGTTTTCCCCTTCGTTTTATTACTCAGCCCGTAAAATAGGCAGGTGAAACTGAAACATAAATTACAAATAAATACATAAAATTACACGGAAACAATAAGGACAATAATACAATATGTTTACAATAAACAAGACAATTAGTTGGAGCACAGCGTTCATACAGTTCCAGATCTTAATGAAGTTTACAGTTATAAACGACTGGATTAAAATACAACTCACAAATCGTATGCGGGGCTAACACCCGTCGCTACACACAATGGATGGGTATCAGATATCTATGCAGGTTCACAGGGGTTTTCTGGGTTCACAGGAGTTTTCTGGGTTCACAGCGGCATTCTGGTGCTGTAAATACAAGCATAAGTTGACAGATAACAGCGCTGAATTACATTATTTACCATCAATATCGTAACTGGTAAACCAAAACACGCGTGCAAGCACGCGCACATGTACATTTTTTGTGCCTACGTGAACAATACGTTTGCAAACAAATACACCGATATAAAGTCAAATAAGCCAGAATACACAGGTAAATACACAATGTACAGGCACACACAAAATATGGTACTATATAACAAATGTAAAATCCCCCAAATAATTATAAATAAAGCACAAAAATGAGGACGAAAACTTACAGTCTTCGCAGCTTTCGGTGGCCTGACGAAGACTGGCGCGAAACCGGAATTATCCAGACTAAATATAGAGCGAGCACACGTGAGGATTTCTGACACATACTATTGGCTGACAAACGCCCTATGACCTTAAAATTCTACATAAGCTAGTTGATGAATAATAATATATATAAGAGAATAAAGAAATATGACCTGACATTCTATGCTAATCATACAAAACTGAGCGGTGGTGAAGAAAACTTATCGGCGACGATAACACTCCCCCTTTTTGAACATCCATTCAAAACTTGAAAATATTGAAATTAACCATATACACCATGACCATAGACTTATACAATCATAGTAAATATTAGGCAACAACACATAAACTACTGCATGTAACTAGTAGATGCAAACAACGATCTTATACAGTTATAATCACATCTATAACATGAATCGATAATCAAAGGTATGACTTGGTCAACTATGTCTTCAAAATCTGACAATCATACTGAATAGACATATGGAGGCAATCAATGGACAGTTTAAGACGCCTTACAGCCTTCCAACAAAATCACCTTGGTGACTGGTCGCACAAGCTCTGTGGCACGGGTCTTCAACCTAATTGATCTAACTAAACCATCTCTACCATGAGTAATCTCTTTAACAAGAGCAAGTGGCCACAAATTTCTGGGGGTATTCTCTTCAGAAAGTAACACAAGGTCACCCACGGCAAGATTTTTAGTAGGATTCACCCACTTGGATCTCTTTTGCAACTCTGGCAGGTAAAATCTTAGCCATGTTCTCCAAAATTGATTAGCTAAATGCTGAACATGCCTCCAGCGACTACGGAGGTGCTCATGACTAAACATACCAGGCGGGTGGCTGGAACTGTTTCTCAAGAGCAGGATATGATTAGGTGTGATAGGCGATGGATCTCTGGGATCATCATTCAACTTAGTCAATGGTCGTCCATTAACAATGGCCTCTACTTCACAAAATACAGTCTCCAGAATTTCATCAGTTAATCTGACTGTTCTAGGGAGTACAGCAACCATGACTCTCTTAACTACACCAATTAAACGTTCCCAAACTCCCCCCATGTGGGAAGCTTTGGGAGGATTAAAACGCCACACGATACTTTGCTGTACTGCATATGCATCGAGAATCTTCTGGGAAAGCTCTTTCATACTACCTTTCAACTCAGCTACACCACCGACAAAATTGGTACCGTTATCTGAATAAATGATCTCTGGGTGGCCCCGACGGGCAATAAAACGTCTAAGACAATTGAGAAACGACTCTGTGTCCATGGTATCCAACTTTTCAATGTGGATGGCTCTAGTACAAAAACATGTAAACAAACAACCATAGCGTTTTACTTCTGATCTGCCATACTTAACATAAAATGGTCCAAACACATCAATTCCGACGTGCGAAAATGGTGGTTTACCGGCCTCTACACGCTCTTCTGGTAAATCAGCCATGAGCTGTTGACGTGGTTTAGAATAGAGGCGCTTACATGTTACACAGGCCCTAATAACCTTCTTGATAAGGGGTCTCCCCCTAGTAATCCAGAATTCTCTCCTGACCATACTCAATACCCACTCTACACCCACATGAGCGACACCATGTACGTCGTTCACAATTGACATTGCAATTACATGATTTCCCGAGATGATGAGTGGGTTCTTAACCTTATTGTCTCCCTTCACCCGGCCATTCATTCTCAGCAAACCTTGATCGTCTAGGTAAGGATTCAACACTCTCATGGAACTCGAAGCTTTCACAAATGTCCCCTTCTCCAATCTACCAATCTCCGAAGCAAATGACTGCGATTGAGCCTTGCGGACAAGAATCTCCCCTGCATGATGGATCTCTTTGACGGTTAGTTGACCTGCAGGCTCGCGCTTCTTCAGAAACTCCATGAATCTCAACCACCATGCTAGGGCTCGTTTCATCCTATACCAAGAGGAGTAGTGATGCATTATCTTGTCTAGCGGGTCATTCTCTACAACCTGGTTTGCATGACATACGCTAACTCGAGGAGCGTCATCCAGGTGTTCAGTGGCAACGGCACCAAAAGCTGTGACTGACGAAGATTCACGGACCTCCGGATCATCATCGTCTAAGTCTACTGGTTCCTTCTCACCTGCATCCCAATCGTGCTTATACTTGTGCAGAATATCTGGACCATGGAACCATTTGTCATCTGACTTCAAGCACGACTGTGGTCTCGTCACAAGATCAGCTGGATTAGACTTGCCGTCGATATGGTGCCACTGATCTGGATTAGTCAACTCTCTGATGAGGCTAACTCTATTCCCAACAAACACATGAAACCTCCTGCTGTCATTATTGATGTATTTAAGGACAATCTCTGAATCAGTCCAGAAATATGAACTGGTGATGTCAAGATCCAACTCGTGTCTCAACAACGCGTCTACCTTAGCAGCCACGACTGCAGCCTGCAATTCCAAGCGCAGTATGGTGCACATCTTCAAAGGGGCAACTCTGCTTTTACTGAGAAGCAGCTGAACATGAACCCCCCCATATTTGTTGACACATCTGATATAACTGCAGCAGCCATACGCCCTGGAACTAGCATCCGAAAAATGATGAAGTTCAATCCAAGCATCATCAAATTCACGTGGTTTGACACACCGGGGTATGTTCAACTGCTTCATGGCATGGCATGACCGGACCCAGGCATACCAGGCATTTTCAAGCTGTGCTGGAACTGTTTCATCCCAAGACAATTTGTCGGCTGTAGCTTTCTGGAACAGGAGTTTACCGGTAAGCACTACAGGACCTAGTAGACCGAGAGGGTCGAATATGGATGCCACGGCACTCAACATCTTCTTTCTGGTGATAGGACTCTGTTTGTCACAGCCGACTTCAAAGAAGAACTCATCTGTGGAAATCTTCCACTTTATACCCAGAGCTCGACTCTCACACACAGGACCCAATGTACGAACTCCCTCGGCAACGCAATCTTCAGACACTTCACTCAACAATTCTTCATCATTGACGACAAACTTCTTCAAACTGAATCCGCCATTACTCAGGACCCTCGGAGTTTCCCTGATAACAGTCTCTGCATCATTCTTCGAAGCCACCGAACTAAGACAGTCATCAACATAAAATGACTTGTCCACTGTATATCTGACCAAGGGACTAACATCTGGAGTATCAATGACCGTGCGACTGAGGGCGTAGGTCGAACTTGAAGCGCACCAAACACCCCCAAACAAGTGGGAAGTCATTCTGTAGTATTCCAAGTGACCATCTCTGTACCACAAAAACCTAAGTGCATCTCTGTCTTGGGGTGGTATCTTCACCTGGTTGTACATGGCTTCGATGTCTGCCTGAATAGCTATGCTGTGTTGTCTGAAGCGTAACAAAACCGGCAATAGCTTGTTGACAAGATCAGGACCCTGCAGACAACGGTCGTTGAGTGACTTTCCCCTGAATTTGCTAGCACAATCGTAAACAACTCTGAGCTTGTCAGGCTTCTTGTCGGTTATCACTGCATGGTGTGGAAGATACCAAATCCTCTCACCCGTCATCTCATCTGGGGGAATCCTCTCGGCATAACCCTTACACAGTAGCTTGTCGATCTCTGCACTGTACTTCGGATAAAGACCACCCGCAACCAGCCGCTTGTCTAGAGAATCCAGTCTGGACTTGGCCACGACGAAGTTGTTCGGTAAGGACTCTGCTCTGTCTCTCCAGGGTATGGGAAGTTCGTAGTGCCCATCAATCTTCCGATGTTCCTGGTCCCACAGCTTTATCACAGACTTATCTTCCTGCGACCATGAAGAACACTCTAAACCCTCATTTTCAATCTTCCACAGCTTGGAGACATCCTCGGCAGGTAGACAAGACACAAAATTTGAGACTACCTTACGACTGACTCTGCTGACCGGTGACTGCCCATTCACGCACCATCCAAACAAGGTACGAACTGCAAATGGTTGTCCAGACCTTCCACGTCTGACCTCCAGTGGCACAAGAGCTTCTGCGTTATCCTGACCGATAAGCAAATCAACAAGCATGTTATCATGATCGTAAGCGGGTATCAGACCGACACCGTCAAAATGAGCATACAGAGAAACATCTACAGGTGTACTCTTCACAGGTATGCTATCAACAACACAAACACCATTCATTTGCATAGTCTCTCCGCTTTCCGACCCAATCGATAGATCAACAATTTTGGATTGGTGAACACCCGACTTGTTTAATGTACTGAGCTGGAATTCTAAAGGTCTTCCCTGCAAACCCAAACTGTGTACCAAACCCTTGGAGCAAAATGAATTACTCGACCCACTATCCAACAAGGCTAGGACCTTGCGTGAACTGTTAACAGTAACTTGTACTATCGGCATGTGGGTCTCCTTATCTTCGTGGTAACTTACATTAGACACCTTTGTTTCAGGTGGAGCGATATCAGGGCAATGAATGTACATTGTGTGTTTTCTGCCGCAACCCTTTACGCCACAAACTGAACGTTTACCACAATTATCTGTAGTGTGAGAGGCAAGGAGACAATTATGACAAAGCTTGTGTACAGTAACAATATTCAATCTCTCCCTAGGAATCATTTGCTTGAACTTATCACAATGCCACAAGCGATGAGGTCGGGTACATAACACACATGGTGGTTCAGGTTTAGCATATGACTTGACATTCTTGGGTGAACCTGACTTTGAACTAGACCCCGACTGAGACTGAGTTGACACACAAGAATTTAGTGAGACACCCTGACTGGTACTCTTGTGTCTATCAAAGCGCTTGGGATGCATGCTACCATACACAGGATCGTTAACCTCATTGGCGATCTTGCCCACGAAATCTACAAGGTCTTTGAACTCCGGGTAGGATTGACTGTCTTTCTTGGACTTCAAGGCAGATTTCTTCCACCTCAACTGAACATAATTTGGCAATCTGCTCACCACATCAAGGATGAATGATTGTGACTTAACCTCATCCAGAGTACCTAACTGGGTAAGTGTGAGTAAGGTACATTTCATGTCATCCGCTAGCTGTTGGATTTCCTGTGGGGATCTTAGTTGCTTACCAACTTTCAGCTCCTTAATCAGACGTTCTGTGACAAGGTGTTCGTTTCCGAAACGACTATCTAAGATAGAACGTGCCTGGGAGTAACCGCTGGGTCCTCCAATCAACTGACAACCTCTTATAGCTTCTTTAGCAGAACCAGATGTGTATTGCATGAGCCTAGCTAATTTGAGGTCACTGTCATCGCATACTTTATCAACATTGACTTCAAATGCTCTGAGGAATTGATGATAATGCAGAGGATTGCCATCAAATACTTGCAACTCAACCTTAGGCAAATTCAACAAACCCAAGAATTTTTCACGAGATAAATCCCCACATGTACCTGACTTGGGCGTACTTGAATCATTATCATGATCAACTCCAATCTTTACATCCTTAGTCGAGTGAAGGACGGATATGTATACGTCCTGTTCCTTGTAAAAGTATGTTTCGCTAGCGTCAACGTCATCATCATCAATAAGCATTGCATGATACTCATCATGGACAGCCGTAAATTCCTTAAACAGATCTTTAAGTTTTACAACATTATCATCAATGTCACTTAAGTTGTCTTCGGCTATACACTGTCTTATCTTATTGACTTGCTTGGTCACGGCTCTCTTAGCAGAAGTCCTGGCTGTCTTGAGCTCTGCCAACGTCGACATGATGCAAGGGTCTCCTCAGCTTCCTGTAGGGTGAGAACGGCAGGACAAGGTCTCGACGACGGTGGTAGGCTGAGCAGTGTAGACTACGATGTGCTGCGATGTCCGGTAGAAAAGAGAAGCGATGACCAACCCAAGTCCAGAGGCGACGACGACGACGACGAGGATAAACCGATGTGATGCTGGGACGACAGTAGTTCTGACTGGGATGTACGATTTTTTCACTGTCACCGTGTGTATGAGTGACACCGAAGAAAATTGACGAGGTGACACCAGGATGTTTTCCCCTTCGTTTTATTACTCAGCCCGTAAAATAGGCAGGTGAAACTGAAACATAAATTACAAATAAATACATAAAATTACACGGAAACAATAAGGACAATAATACAATATGTTTACAATAAACAAGACAATTAGTTGGAGCACAGCGTTCATACAGTTCCAGATCTTAATGAAGTTTACAGTTATAAACGACTGGATTAAAATACAACTCACAAATCGTATGCGGGGCTAACACCCGTCGCTACACACAATGGATGGGTATCAGATATCTATGCAGGTTCACAGGGGTTTTCTGGGTTCACAGGAGTTTTCTGGGTTCACAGCGGCATTCTGGTGCTGTAAATACAAGCATAAGTTGACAGATAACAGCGCTGAATTACATTATTTACCATCAATATCGTAACTGGTAAACCAAAACACGCGTGCAAGCACGCGCACATGTACATTTTTTGTGCCTACGTGAACAATACGTTTGCAAACAAATACACCGATATAAAGTCAAATAAGCCAGAATACACAGGTAAATACACAATGTACAGGCACACACAAAATATGGTACTATATAACAAATGTAAAATCCCCCAAATAATTATAAATAAAGCACAAAAATGAGGACGAAAACTTACAGTCTTCGCAGCTTTCGGTGGCCTGACGAAGACTGGCGCGAAACCGGAATTATCCAGACTAAATATAGAGCGAGCACACGTGAGGATTTCTGACACATACTATTGGCTGACAAACGCCCTATGACCTTAAAATTCTACGTAAGCTAGTTGATGAATAATAATATATATAAGAGAATAAAGAAATATGACCTGACATTCTATGCTAATCATACAAAACTGAGCGGTGGTGAAGAAAACTTATCGGCGACGATAACAATGCTTATTTTCAAAAAAAAATAAATATTTTGTGGCTTTTTGGTTTTTGCAGGGCATAATAAAAGTTTGCTCTGTTATTTTTTGGTCCCATTTTAATAGTTTATAAAATTAGGCAGCTGCTGAACGGCAGAGGGAATTGCAACCGCCCCCTCTTAATCTGATACTGTAGAAGGAGGCTTGTTGGAAATGAGAGGCTGCAATTATTGTCCATTTGTCTTTTGTTCTTCCTCGTTTCTACTCATAAATATTAATTTGTGAAGACAATTTTTTTAAAGCCAGCCATCCAGTCAAAGTAATAGAAGCAGAAAAAAAGCTGCCTAATATGGGAGACGTGATCCACTTTTTTTTTGTTCACATTATGACTACTCAAAAACATAAGCAGTGTCGGTAGACTTCAATTTGGAATTTGACAGAGCCTCTGAGTCCCTGGAGTTTATGTACCATATGCTTATCATCTAAAAATACATGTTTTTATGCCCCGCGGCGAAGCCGAAGGGGCATACTGTTTCCGCCTTGTCCTTCCGTGGGTGGGTGGGTGGGTGGGTGGGTGGGTGGGTGTGTGGGTGGGTGAGTTTGTCTTACATACGCAGTGTGGACTTCCGAACAAAAGACGTCCACATAATGTAGGTAGCACCGACGTTGTGTGGACTTACCCCACGTCCACACAGTGTTTCCCCATTTCTGGAAAACAGGTTTAGAGGCATTTTTGGGTTAGGTTTATCTGTAGCAGAATGAAGAGAAACACTAAAGGGAATCATAGAAAAAAAATTGGGTTGAAAGAGTTTTCACAGTTTGAGAAAAATGAGTTTTTTCACTGGTTTTTCTTAAAGGGAATATACATCATTTGCTTTTGCTGTAATTTTCAGAAATGGATGGAATTGGGGGGTTGGAAATATGAAGCAAATATAGATGCACTAACTTTTTGAAGGTTTTGGGTTTGAAAATGCTATAAAAACCAAGAAAAACGATCATTTTCCTGTAGTCTGGTTCCCTGACTCCATATAAGAAGAAACAGAGCAGTTTACATACATTGGGGAATTGTAAGGTCAGGGAACCAGTCTAGCTGGCTCGTACCCGTTCATAGGTTTGTAATCGATTGCAAACAAGTGCAATGGTCAATTGGGGCCGGTATTTGAAAAAAAGCCAGTTGTTTCCAACGCTGATCGGCCGATCAGCGTTGGAAATTGATACAAAAATACCACTTTTCTTGAAAATGACAGTATACCAGGTGCCATAATTTTACAGGATGCTTTAGACTGTCATTTACCAACATCCTATTAAGGTATTTCGCAAAAACTTGGTAGTTTTGTTTTTCGATGTTTGCAAATGTTGTATATTCCCTTTAACTACACGAAAGCAATGAAAAGTCCACACTAGTCATGTGAAACAAGTAGGGGTGGGTGTGTGGGTGGGTGTGTGGGTGTGTGTGTCCGGACAAATCTTGTCAGCGCGATCACTTGAGAAATACTTAACATATGAACTTCAAATTTGGTTTGTGGATTGTCCTTGGTAATCCTAAGAAGCCTTTTGCATTTGGGGCCGAAAGGTCAAGGGTCAAGGTCACAGTGGCTGAAACAATAGAAATTTTGTCAGCGCGATAACTTGAGAAATACTTAACATATGAACTTCAAATTTGGTTTGTGGATTGTCCTTGGTAATCCTTAGAAGCCTTTTGCATTTGGGGCCGAAAGGTCAAGGGTCAAGGTCACAGTGGCTGAAACAATAGAAATTTTGTCAGCGCGATAACTTGAGAAATACTTTACATATAAACTTCAAATTTGGTTTGTGGATTGTCCTTGGTAATTGTAAGAAGCCTTTTGCATTTGGGGCCAAAAGGTCAAGGGTCAAGGTCACAGTGACTAAAACAAAAGAAATTTTGTCAGCGCGATAACTTGAGATATACTTTACATATGAACTTCAAATTTGGTTTGTGGATTGTCCTTGGCAATCCTAAGAAGCCTTTTGCATTTGGGGCCAAAAGGTCAAGGGTCAAGGTCACAGTGGCAAAAACAAAAGAAATTTTGTCAGCGCGATAACTTGAGATATACTTTACATATGAATTTCAAATTTGGTTTGTGGATTGTCCTTGGCAATCCTAAGGAGCCTATCGCATTGGGGGTCGAAAGGTCAAGGGTCAAGGTCACAGTGGCTGAAACAATAGAAATTTTGTCAGCGCGATAACTTGAGAAATACTTAACATATGAACTTCAAATTTGGTTTGTGGATTGTCCTTGGTAATCCTTAGAAGCCTTTTGCATTTGGGGCCGAAAGGTCAAGGGTCAAGGTCACAGTGGCTGAAACAATAGAAATTTTGTCAGCGCGATAACTTGAGAAATACTTTACATATAAACTTCAAATTTGGTTTGTGGATTGTCCTTGGTAATTGTAAGAAGCCTTTTGCATTGGGGGCCAAAAGGTCAAGGGTCAAGGTCACAGTGGCAAAAACAAAAGAAATTTTGTCAGCGCGATAACTTGAGATATACTTTACATATGAACTTCAAATTTGGTTTGTGGATTGTCCTTGGCAATCCTAAGAAGCCTTTTGCATTTGGGGCCAAAAGGTCAAGGGTCAAGGTCACAGTGGCAAAAACAAAAGAAATTTTGTCAGCGCGATAACTTGAGATATACTTTACATATGAATTTCAAATTTGGTTTGTGGATTGTCCTTGGCAATCCTAAGGAGCCTATCGCATTGGGGGTCGAAAGGTCAAGGGTCAAGGTCACAGTTGCTAAAACAATAGAAATCTTTTATTTATTCTGAGATCATAGGGATTAGGGATTAATTCATATAAAACCTACAGAAGACACTAATGCTGTCAATGAACGTTCCATTTGACCAAGGTACATGTAATTTGATGTTAGAGTGGTGTTATGTCATGGAAACAGTCACGGTTGCAGGGCATTTGTGTTTGTAAACACACCTGACTTGTTTATTGTGGCTTTCTTGTTTTTGCAGGGCATAATAAAAGTTTGCTCTGTTATTTTTTGGTCCCATTTTAATAGTTTATAAAATTAGGCAGCTGCTGAACGGCAGAGGGAATTGCAACCGCCCCCTCTTAATCTGATACTGTAGAAGGAGGCTTGTTGGAAATGAGAGGCTGCAATTATTGTCCATTTGTCTTTTGTTCTTCCTCGTTTCTACTCATAAATATTAATTTGTGAAGACAATTTTTTTAAAGCCAGCCATCCAGTCAAAGTAATAGAAGCAGAAAAAAAGCTGCCTAATATGGGAGACGTGATCCACTTTTTTTGGGTTCACATTATGACTACTCAAAAACATAAGCAGTGTCGGTAGACTTCAATTTGGAATTTGACAGAGCCTCTGAGTCCCTGGAGTTTATGTACCATATGCTTATCATCTAAAAATACATGTTTTTTATTGTGGCTTTCTTGTTTTTGCAGGGCATAATAAAAGTTTGCTCTGTTATTTTTTGGTCCCATTTTAATAGTTTATAAAATTAGGCAGCTGCTGAACGGCAGAGGGAATTGCAACCGCCCCCTCTTAATCTGATACTGTAGAAGGAGGCTTGTTGGAAATGAGAGGCTGCAATTATTGTCCATTTGTCTTTTGTTCTTCCTCGTTTCTACTCATAAATATTAATTTGTGAAGACAATTTTTTTAAAGCCAGCCATCCAGTCAAAGTAATAGAAGCAGAAAAAAAGCTGCCTAATATGGGAGACGTGATCCACTTTTTTTGGGTTCACATTATGACTACTCAAAAACATAAGCAGTGTCGGTAGACTTCAATTTGGAATTTGACAGAGCCTCTGAGTCCCTGGAGTTTATGTACCATATGCTTATCATCTAAAAATACATGTTTTTTATTGTGGCTTTCTTGTTTTTGCAGGGCATAATAAAAGTTTGCTCTGTTATTTTTTGGTCCCATTTTAATAGTTTATAAAATTAGGCAGCTGCTGAACGGCAGAGGGAATTGCAACCGCCCCCTCTTAATCTGATACTGTAGAAGGAGGCTTGTTGGAAATGAGAGGCTGCAATTATTGTCCATTTGTCTTTTGTTCTTCCTCGTTTCTACTCATAAATATTAATTTGTGAAGACAATTTTTTTAAAGCCAGCCATCCAGTCAAAGTAATAGAAGCAGAAAAAAAGCTGCCTAATATGGGAGACGTGATCCACTTTTTTTGGGTTCACATTATGACTACTCAAAAACATAAGCAGTGTCGGTAGACTTCAATTTGGAATTTGACAGAGCCTCTGAGTCCCTGGAGTTTATGTACCATATGCTTATCATCTAAAAATACATGTTTTTTATTGTGGCTTTCTTGTTTTTGCAGGGCGTAATAAAAAGTTGGCTCTGAGCCAACGAAAGATTGGTTCGCGGCTACATTGTACGTTCTGTTGAAACTAAACTGGTGAGGTACCATTGCAATCAGTTATGGCGAAAAAAAGAGAAGTGTATGAAATAAAATAGTTCTTGTTATTTCGCCCTGGGGTTGTGGTGCGTGTGCCTTTGGGCAAAGCACTTAATTTGCCACTCATTGGGCCCACCCAGGATTTTTTTGGTAGCGGGGGCAAAGCAAATTAATTGTCCCCCAAAATCCTTGTATTCTCTCTAGCATATTCTCAAGTGTATTTGAATAGATGTCTGTAGCGAAGTTTGTCGGAATTGCCTAAATATTGGTGTATATGATGACCTTGACTCACTTAAGACTTGTGCGAAGTTTTAGGCGAATGACGTCATCAGACCAGAAGTTATAATAAAAAGACCCTTTTTCATTTGAAAATTCCTGAAAAATCAACCATGGCAGTTTTTATGTTAGTTTTTACTTTAATTGTCGATTTAAGGGTAGGTCTAAAACATTTCAAAGCTTCGAGGCAATAAGCGAACTCGGACATGCCCTGCGCACGCTTAAAACTTCAGGTTGACAATACCTCTGCTCTAAAACATGCGCAGAACGTCTATATGACATACACGTACTTATGCACATACATGTACATCGTATGTCAGTCAGCCTGCAGAGCACGTGTTGCCG